GGGGGAGAGACATAAGTTTAAATGTCATATCACTACTTCACTAGCCTTAGTTGACATCCCTGTTGTTTCCATCATTGTGTGTGGTGGGGGGAGAGACATAAGTTTAAATGTCATATCACTACTTCACTAGCCTTAGTTGACATCCCCGTTTTTTCCATCATTGATGATGTTGCTCTGAAACATAACTTCAGTAAGAGTATGATGGGAACAGCTGATTTCTTGTGTTGTTATTCATAGATGATGATACACAGACACAACCAAAATCACAGAAGAAGAGGAAGAAGCAGGGAAATAGAAATTCAGACAATATGGGCACCAGGGTTAGAGGGGAGAAGGAACACTACATGCAGTCAGGCCAAGGGAAACACAGACCAGCACAAAACAAATTTAGCAAAGGTAGGAAAACTTTATTCAGAATACCCTGGTACTGTATACAGTTTTGGATTTTCTCATGGTTATTTTCACATTTCTATCAGAAAGTTAATACTCCTGCGATGAAGAATTCACAACAAAGAGGTAGGTCAGTGATATTTTAACACAGCGATACACAATAACTTTCATTTGCTCTTAATCCTATTGTATTGCACTTGATCTACCGTTTGAAAATGTGTACTAAAAGCTGTTTTTAGTGTTTGGGTACAATTCTTACCCGGAAACCCGAAAATTCACACTTCCATCAAATACAAAATGCTTTGTTTATAATGTATATCTTAGGGAGGTCCTTATTTTCTAGTCTTTAATCATGTCTCCCCTTCGAATGAAAGGAGACATATTGTACTAGTACTGGTTCTTCTTCTGGTTCTTCTTATAGTAACGTGTCTAGGAAATAAATCTTAAACCGTTAAAGATATTATGATGAAACTTGAGGTATGCCTGCATCACCCACAGAAGGTGTGCAGTGCACTAGAATTAGGTCACTGTGACCTTCACCTCAAGGTAAAAGGTCAAATATGTGCAACATTTTCAGTAAATTCTTGTCTGACCTGTAAATTATAAACAGTTACAGATATCTTGATCAAACTTGAAGTATACCTGCATCACACACAGAAGGTGTGCAGTGCATTGGAATTGTGTCTCGTGCCCTACTATATACGGAGTTATGGCCCTTTGTTTATTTTTCATACTTTAGTTTGTCTGGAGCATAAGTTCCATGTTATTTCACCAATATTGACCAAAGAGAATGTTTTTGTTAGGTAGATTATACCCTGACTATTATCAACACATACTCTAGAACTATAACGCTAACATGGCACTTTAATTCGCTGAATTGGATGATGTTATACCATACGAAGCATTTCATATACTAATATTTACCATATAATAACGTTTGTGCGAATCGAAGTCTGTTCACCATCGTGACTCTTACCGGAAATCAGACACTGGATTATAATACAATTTTAATTAGAATAGAGTACAGACAAGAATATCCGGAAGTTTATTTTTTATATCAGAATGTGAATCTTTACTTATTTGTTAATATATAATGTAAGACGAATACTGACACTTGATAGAATATTTTGAACATTATGTACATTATTTAAAGGCGATTCTAGACGCTCATGTACATTGTATGTATATTTATATGTATGTTTATGTCATAAAATTTTGAAAATATAATAAAAAATAAAAATATTGACCAAACTTATCACATTTATGTATCTTAGGAAGGCGGAATCTCTCGCGCTAAAATGGGGTCTTGTCCCCACTATATACAGAGTTATGGCCCTTTGTTTATTTTTAATACCTTAGTTTGTCTGGAGCATAAGTTCCATGTTATTTCACCTATATTGACCAAACTTATCACATTTATGTATCTTGGGAAGGCGGAATCTCTCGCACTAAAATGGGGTCTTGTGCCCCACTATATACAGAGTTATGGCCCTTTGTTTATTTTTAATACCAAAATTTGTCCACAGCATTACCTCCATGTTATTTCACCTATGTTGACCAAACATGCTATAGTTATGTATCTTGGGAAGGCGGAATCTCTCGCACTAAAATGGGGTCTTGTGCCCCACTATATACAGAGTTATGGCCCTTTGTTTATTTTTAATCCCAAAATTTGTCCACAGCATTACTTCCATGTTATTTCACCTATGTTGACCAAACATGCTATAGTTATGTATCTTGGGAAGGCGGAATATCTCGCACTAAAATGGGGTCTTGTGCCCCACTATATACAGAGTTATGGCCCTTTGTTTATTTTTAATCCCAAAATTATATTATATAATTCCATATTATTTCTTTATGTTGACCAAACTAAGTAAATATATAATAATACAGTACATAGTGAATATGTTTTGTTGTATACATGTCCTAAATACACTAAGTTTAAGTTTATAAGAATTAATGAGCCAATAGAGGAACCAGATTGTTATTGGATGTGTGATCATTCCTATTTTTATGTAAATGTGTCTATAGTACCATAGCTGCCAAAACTTAACCAAAATTGTTAAGAAAATTTAACATGAACCAGAATAATTTGAAAGTTTAATGGTTTAGAGTTTACACACCCTAATCTTGATGTGATCTTTCTATTCTTCCAAATATGCATATTGGCTAATAAGGGGAGATATAAGTTTTTGTTCATAAAAACCAAAAACAAATTTCTAGTTATAAATATACGACCTGGAATGTAACATATAAGTTATACATGTTTTCTTCAACGTTATGTCCCCAATCAGACAACATCACTTTTTATTGCTGTGTTATAGGAAAAGTTTGTTTGGGCTGTAATTAATAATATGAGCACACAACTCGCCAATACAGTACAATTTTATTCCTTATTCCAGGGAAGGAGTGTGTGGTGAAAACTGGTTGGCAGGCTTACAACCCTCCACACAAAAGGGATAAAACACACAACTTTGATAGAGGATTCAAAACTTCTTACTACCAAAACAAGATACCTTATCAACATAACAAGAAAACAAGATCAAGTACCGCTTAAGTGTGAGGGCAGGGTTTGTTTGGGAGAGGTTGTGAAAGCTTGATGTTTATATACTGGAGTAGTGGGACCACCTACTACATTCGTACATGTGAAAAGCAACAATTCAATGTGTATGCTTGGAAAGGTTTAATTTACAGACTTCCATTTTGCTAATCAAATGAGATTTTTGAAAAGTGTTAACACAATCTTTACGTGAAAAATATCATTCCCCTTTCTCCTTGTTAGAGAGTAATGTGTTTTTGTGAGAGTGTTGATAACCTGTTCATGATCTTGTGTACTGACAAGATTATATGATCTGAGGCACAGTCTTGTACATGTATTTGCGGATACAGGACAGAACACCTGATGGTAAACCAGTGGATACAGGACAGAACACCTGATGGTATACCAGTGGATACAGGACAGAACACCTGATGGTAAACCAGTGCATACAGGACAGAACACCTGATGGTATACCAGTGCATACAGGACAGAACACCTGATGGTATACCAGCGAATACAGGACAGAACACCTGATGGTATACCAGCGGATACAGGACAGAACACCTGATGGTATACCAGTGGATACAGGACAGAACGCCTGATGGTATACCAGTGGATACAGGACAGAACGCCTGATGGTATACCAGTGGATACAGGACAGAACGCCTGATGGTATACCAGTGGATACAGGACAGAACACCTGATGGAAAACCAGTGGATACAGGACAGAACACCTGATGGTAAACCAGTGGAGACAGGACAGAACACCTGATGGTATACCAGTGGATACAGGAAAGAACACCTGATGGTATACCAGTGGATACAGGACAAAACACCTGATGGTAAACCAGTGGATACAGGACAGAACAACTGATGGTAAACCAGTGGATACAGGACAGAACACCTGATGGTAAACCAGTGGATACAGGACAGAACACCTGATGGTAAACCAGTGCATACAGGACGGAACACCTGATGGTATACCAGTGCATACAGGACAGAACACCTGATGGTATACCAGTGGATACAGGACAAGACATATTATGGTATACCAGCAAGATGATCTTGGTCTTGTTAACAAAAGAATGTCCAGCCCAGCAAGTACATATTATTTGTGTTACACTTTCTGATTTACTTGACTTGCAAAGCAGCTTCAATTTAAATTTCAGTAACTTATTATGTGCTTGATAAGGTTGCATCTGGTGTACAACCTTTACAATTGTCTTTTAAAAGGATTGAAATAACTTGCACTCGTAAATTCTGGAACAGTTTCTATGAACAAGGCGCAATTGTCTAAATACACTCTTACTGATACTGGCTTTAGAGTGGCCAAACTTGTAGATACTGACTGTAGAGTGGCCACACTTACAGATACTGGCTGTAGAGTGGCCACACTTACTGATACTGGCTGTAGAGTGGCCACACTTACTGATACTGGCTGTAGAGTGGCCAAACTTGTAGATACTGACTGTAGAGTGGGCACACTTACAGATACTGGCTGTAGAGTGGCTACACTTACAGATACTGGATGTAGAGTGGCCACCCTTTCAGATACTGGATGTAGAGTGGCCACACTTACAGATACTGGATGTAGAGTGGCCTCTCACAGGGACTTGATAAAAGAGTAGCCACTTACGTCTTATGTCTTCATTGTGTAGAATACGATACAATTTCAAGATTTAATAACTGATTGAAGAGAAATATTTGATTATGAAAATGAAAACCTAATTTAACATCCTTTATGAGTTGAATAAAAGTAACAAACACATGCTATCATATGTTACATTTTTTTTCATCATTGAACTGTAACAATAGTCCAATAGGCCTGCGTCACTCACCTGTTATTCCATGCCGTCACAAACTCATCTCAAACTTGATAACACAACAAACTAAGTATCATTACTCTATGGATTTACTGGATAGGTATGAATTTATTTTGGAAGAGTTGCACTTAATTTTTATTTGTCATCTTTTGACTGCCTTGGTGACATTGAATATGGGTAAAGATACCTGGAAGCCTTTTAAAGGGTTTTACGATGGTGACCTTAAAGGAAGGTCAAGGTAATTCATTTGAACAAATTTAACAACCCTTTATCCAAGGATTCTACTGATAAAGGATCATGATTTAAGAAAAAAGTTGACAAAGGAAGAAAGGATGTACAATACATGCCATGCAATTTCATCATTCCAGGTGAGCTAATAAAAACTGCAGCACTGTTTATTTTTAAATGAGTATGGATGTTGGAGAGGAATTGTCTGTTAGAAAACATTCCAGCATTGATATATCAACACCATTGACTATGGCCGAGGTTAGATGTCCCAAGTCATGTGGTTCAGAGAGCTTCAATTCATATTATATTCCTTAAGGAATCATTCAAATCAATTGTATTGAGCAATATCATAGTGCAAACATGATTATTATTTTTGATGCTGCAAAATTCTATGCAGCATATAACGAAAAAAAATCTTAAGCTAATGTACATGAGTAGAACCATTTAAAGCATAAAGTGTAGGTCAAATTCAGCATCCAAAATTCATTCAGTAAGGCAACCTTTCACTGAATCAGCTTAAGTGTAGTTCAACATCAGGGTTCACTGGTTCAGTTTAAGTGTAGTATTAACATTAGGGTTCACTGGTTCAGTTTGAGTGTAGTATTTACATTAGGGTTCACTGGTTCAGTTTGAGTGTAGTTTAACATCAGGGTTCACTGGTTCAGTTTGAGTGTAGCATCAACATTAGGGTTCACTGGTTCAGTTTGATTGTAGTATTTACATTAGGGTTCACTGGTTCAGTTTGAGTGTAGTATCAACATCAGGGTTCACTGGTTCATTTTGAGTGTAGTATCAACATCGGGGTTCACTGGTTAAGTTTGAGAGTAGTATCAACATCGGGGTTCACTGGTTCAGTCTGAGTGTAGTATTAACATCGGGGTTCACTAGTTCAGTTTGAGTGTAGTATTAACATCAAGGTTCACTGGTTCAGTTTGAGTGTAGCATCAACATTAGGGTTCACTGGTTCAGTTTGAGTGTAGAATTAACATTAGGGTTCACTGGTTCAGTTTGATTGTAGTATCAACATCAGGGTTCACTGGTTCAGTTTAAGTGTAGTATTAACATTATGGTTCTCTGGTTCAGTTTGAGTGTAGTATTTACATTAGGGTTCACTGGTTCAGTTTGAGTGTAGCATCAACATCGGGGTTCACTGGTTCAGTCTGAGTGTAGTATTAACATCGGGGTTCACTGGTTCAGTTTGAGTGTAGAATTCACTGGTTCAGTTTGAGTGTAGTTTAACATCAGGGTTCACTGGGTCAGTTTGAGTGTAGTATTAACATCAGTGTTCACTGGTTCAGTTTGAGTGTAGTTTAACATCAGGGTTCACTGGGTCAGTTTGAGTGTAGTATCAACATCGGGGTTCACTGGTTAAGTTTGAGAGTAGTATCAACATCGGGGTTCACTGGTTCAGTCTGAGTGTAGTATTAACATCGGGGTTCATTGGTTCAGTTTGAGTGTAGTATCAACATCAGTATTCACTGGTTCAGTTTGAGTGTAGTATGAACATCAGGGTTCACTGGTTCAGTTTGAGCGTAGTATTAACATCAGGGTTCACAGGTTCAGTTTGAGTGTAGTTTAACATCAGTATTCACTGGTTCAGTTTGAGTGTAGTATCACCATCTGGGTTCACTGGTTCATTTTGAGTGTAGTATCAACATCAGGGTTCACTGGTTCAGTTTGAGCGTAGTATTAACATCAGGGTTCACAGGTTCAGTTTGAGTGTAGTTTAACATCAGGGTTCACTGGGTCAGTTTGAGTGTAGTATCAACATCAGTATTCACTGGTTCAGTTTGAGTGTAGTATCACCATCTGGGTTCACTGGTTCATTTTGAGTGTAGTATCAACATCAGGGTTCACTGGTTCAGTTTGAGTGTAGTTTAACATCAGGGTTCACTGGTTCAGGTTGAGTGTAGTTTAACATCAGGGTTCACTGGTTCAGGTTGAGTGTAGTATCAACATCGGGGTTCACTGGTTAAGTTTGAGAGTAGTATCAACATCGGGGTTCACTGGTTCAGTTTGAGTGTAGCATCAACATCGGGGTTCACTTGTTCAGTTTGAGTGTAGTATCAACATCAGTGTTCACTGGTTCAGTTTGAGTGTAGTTTAACATCAGGGTTCACTGGGTCAGTTTGAGTGTAGTATTAACATCAGGGGTCACTGGTTCAGTTTGAGTGTAGTATGAACATCGGGGTTCACTGGTTCAGTTTGAGTGTAGCATCAACATCGGGGTTCACTGGTTCATTTTGAGTGTAGTATCAACATCGGGGTTCACTGGTTAAGTTTGAGAGTAGTATCAACATCGGGGTTCACTGGTTCAGATTGAGTGTAGTATTAACATCAGGGTTCACTGGTTCAGTTTGAGTGTAGTTTAACATCAGTGTTCACTGGTTCAGTTTGAGTGTAGTATCAACATCAGTTGAAGAAGGAGTGTTTACTAGTTTATAGGGGCTAGAGATTGTTTCATTGAAATTGAGAACTCACAGACATCACAATTACCCTGGAAACTTGATCATCAATATTTACCACCATTTCTTTTGAATTTTCATTATGACAAATTTTTTATCCTACAAGATTTTTTTCTGATACAGCCAGATTCATACACATGTAGATGATTAATTATACTTAGAAACAACAATGAAAGGTGATTTTACTTTGCACTTTATTTTAAAGAATATAAGATTAGTCATGTAGATGGCCACCTTTACAAGCAGTATAAAAATTTGGTCTAAAGGCATACAAATACATCATAATAAATATAGTTTATCACAGATCAGGAGCATAATGTAAAATACACCTAGTATTTGATGAAATGTATATTATAGTTTTCCTTCTCCACATGTTTTACAAAGAAATTCATATTAAAGAAAAAAAGTTTCTCTGTATATGTAATATCACCTATCTTACCCCAGTAATATTAAGGATAGACCTATTTAACCTTAACCTCAACAAATCTATAAAAGTGAGAAAAAAAATACAAATAAATAATTATTGCATAAGCTACAAATTTTAGAGCTCTGATGAAACTTGTGCATAAGTAAAAATAAATATATGAAGGCAGACATGTTACCTTACATCCTATGACAGCAGACTAACTGTTAGTTGAAAGTAGTACTTGTATTATAATCTTTGTCTCACATTCTCTCAATGATTCTTAAAAATATTAATATTCACAAGGCTTAAAATAAACTGTATCTAACGATATGGCAGATGATGTAAGGATGCAGATTTAAAGATGGATTAAATTATAGTTATATTCATTTTTTATCAAAATACGGTAATGTTGGAAATAGTTAAGCACTATAAAATGTTGAGTATTCTCATCAGTGAACCAAATCAATATACCAATAAGATTTTGTAGAGCTTCCTATTCAGTATTTGGTAGATAATTATGATGTATAAAGAACATGATCTGAACTATTTTTTATCATGGTTTCAACTTTTGTGTTTGTCTGTTTTTTTATGGTTAGAGTATATTCAATATCACAGCAGGCACATGTATATGTATAAAAGTTACTATGACAATGATGACATAACATATGCCAGCAACAGATAATTATAATAACTTCAAAACAGACCTTCAATAAAAGTCCATACCTACATACAGGTATGAACCGCTTTACCTACGGTACTTGTGACTAATGTCTGTTAAGGAGGTTCATTTAACCAACTTAAAGTTGTGCGGTCTTAAAATTGCTACAAATAATGATGCTATAAATTCAAACATGGTAGCGTGAATGTTAACCAATTAATAACAACATGGACATTGAACAGCATACAATATAATGGTTTATTTAAGTAGAATAATCTAATACATGTGATAAGTACTGAAAACATTCAGGATTTAAATGATCTAGATTAAAATAATTCCTAAAAAAAATAATCAAACTCAATAATGTCCATGAAATTTCACGCACAATTTTACTGTTCAATTCTTGGCAACTGCATAATATTTTTCTTCACTTTCAGAAAGCATTGTGTTGTTTTCAGAGCTCCTTTATTGATTAAATTTAAATATTTAAAAAAAAAAAAAAAAAATGTTGCGTATTCAGCGTTAAAATTTATGACTGTAAAATAAGACATGGTAATCTATAGCAGTATTAAATAATTAAGGACGGCATCAGAGAGGCTTTCATATTGGTTAGAGGTTAGAGCTGTAGGTGGACTCCCGATCAATGCCCACCTCCATGTTTTTACAGAAGTTTGTGGTGAATGGGATACAGTTGAAGTACTGACAGCCAGGACAGTTATATAGAGGAAGCACATAAAACAGCACTATAAGAGTTATAAACAGGGCAATGGCGCCCCCCAGTGACAACACAATTCCAATGATCTTCCTTGTCCTGTCCCACTGCCCAAATGACACATAAGGTATAAGTGCAAAGGCTAGCAAGAAACCAAACAGGAAACCGCTGATGTGAGCCCAGTTGTCAATCCACGGCAGCAGCCCCAACAGAAAAAGGAACAAGATGAAACCACCAATCTTCAGGATTGCAATCATCGGTCGCTTCAGCATCTGTACATTCTGTAGTACCTCCACCAGGAGACAGGCCAGGATACCAAACTGGGCACCAGCTGGTCCAACCTGTGTGACAAAATGGAGGTGTAAGTGTACAGAAACAGTGGGGTAATATACAGTTAAACACTAAATAAAACAAATATTGGCTACTGGCATGGCAGCACCACCACCTTCTAAACCAGTTGGTCCCATATAACACATGTATATATATTTACAGTTTATATCAACATTCAATCAATAACAATTGTTCTTGCAAACTAGACCAAATATCTGCATTTCCGGCAGTGCTGGAAAATTCTATCTGACCCACGGGTCTGGATCGCTTACACGCGCAGACTGGTGGGGAATTAAAGTGACCTGCTATTGTTCGTGACGTCATTTTATGATGTTTTGGGGTCAGTCAGGGTCATTAACAATTGCCATCCATGCTGCATATGTAAATGAGAAATGTGCGGACAGTTTACAACTTTACTAGAAGAGCAGCTGTTTTTACGGGTTTTAGGTAATAAGCAAGAAGTAGAATCCATCCCTGATGTGAGGTAAGGATAAGGTTATTCAAACCCTTGGGATAAAATATTGAGCAAAAGACCCTCGGCAAAGCCTCAGGTCTCCTGCTCAATAGTTTATCCCAAGGGTTTGAAGCCGAGGGTCTTTTGCTCAATATTTTATCCCAAGGGTTTGAATAACCTTATCCTTACCTCAAATCAGGGATGGATTCTATTATTCCGCATATTGGAGTTATCATCTCATAACGTGACCAAAGAATGTGACAAGTTTCCATGACCTTGGCAACAATATATGTGGGCGGAGCTATGCAAATTTTGAAAGAATGAGACACAATTGTGCGACGTCATCAACAGTAGATGTTGGCGGAGTTATCCAAGGCTTATGCAAATTTCAGGCTGTTACTTTTACTGAACTGATCAAACCTTAACATGTTTTAAAATGAAAGTTCCATTTATCAGACTAATGAATGAAATAGCTATAAACCATTCACAGAAAAATGCTGTAAATATAAGGAATAGTTTTCTGTTTTGGTTATGAGGTGAAAACTACAGTTGAGCATGTATAAATTTAATTATGACAAAGCCATCTACTATAAATTTAATTATGACAAAGCCATCTACTATAAATTTAATTATGACAATGCCGTCTACTATAAATTTAATTATGACAAAGCCATCTACTATAAATTTAATTATGACAAAGCCATCTACTATAAATTTAATTATGACAAAGCCACCTACTATAAATTTATCACCTCATAAACCTGACCAAAATAGAAAACTATTCCTAAAATATATTAGATCTGTTCTTTTTCAGGTCTTTTGCCAATTTGTCCTTTCATGTTGGTATTGCTATGGAATTAGAGCAAACCTTATGATATCTTACAATTTTCTATAATGTAGATATCTTACAATTTTCTATAATGTAGATATCTTACAAATGTAGTTTAACCTCCAGGTTATTAACTTTATTATATTTATAATCTTGTAATATCATTAAGTTGCTATTTGAAAAACTAAACAATACTGCACCAAAGACGAATGCACACCAATAGATCTAGAACTAAAGTGATAACTGCTTAGAAACCATGTTGGATGTCTAGAATTATGGGATCCCTATAATGTGTCATTTTTTCGCAAGGTAGACTATATCTACAAAGTACCAATAACCAGTATGATAAAAATTGCACCAATTAAACAAACTTTATGATACATGTAGTATAATTCTCAGTCAATCTAGTTAAGTAACAGATGGTGATAGATGCTGGTCGTTTTGGTTTCGGGGATCCTGGTAATATCACATTATTCACAAGGATATCTACCAATACCATATACTCCCAAATGAACATCACCATATGAAATTCAGAAATTTTTAGAACCAAAAGTGAACAGATGGACACCAAAATTACTATAGTGCACATCTACTGCACTATTGTGTGAAACTTAGCCCTTGAATATCTGTTTCAAGGACAAAGAAAGGAAAAACTGACCTCAGAAAATAGCTGCAGCCTTAGGGCTTACAAACATGCTGACATCACCCTCATAGCTATATAACTGTTGTTAATCGTCCAACTTACCTCTACATGATAAGGTAGAAAGATGGAACTGGCAAGGTTACCGGCAATTCCACTACCAACGTATATAATTGCCATCCTTATACAGCCTGTTAATTTCTCTATGTCTCTCATGATCAGGAACTGGAACCCAATGGTGATCACCAGATGGAAAACTCTGCAAAGTAAAAAAGAAATCAAATTTAGTTTAGTTCACTTTATCATGACCAAACCAGAGTATTTAAATTGTGTGTATCAAACCAACATCTATATTCTACAGTAATCAGTACAAAAAATGAACCTAAATGTTGGATTCAAAAGAACGTTCAATCTTTTTGTCCAGGTACACTAAACGTGTTAATTCAACTTACCCTCCATGTAAAAACATTGAGGTCCATAACCTGTAGAACTGATCTGGTGCCAAATCGTCAGAGAAGGGGATCATTCCGCAGATCTGTGTCAAACAACTCGCCTGGACAAATGACAGAAAACCGTCCATTACATAATGAAACCTGATCTGATACCAACACAAAACTTTAGATTACATAATCGAGCGTGACAAAGACAACTGATGGTTTTGGATTACAATATCCCAAACAACTGATGGTTTTGGATTACAATATCCCAAACAACTGATGGTTTTGGATTACAATATCCCAAACAACTGAGGCAAGGCTTTGTTTTCAGATTATACTGTTAAACACGAGGGACAATTTTTGACTTAAGGTTGCAGAAATGAACATGACAAATTTATAATTTTAAAATTATACAGTAAATCACAATATGGACAAGGTTTTGGTTTTAGATTAAACTGTTGAACTTGATAGAGATAACGTTATGATTTTATTCAATAAGATTCATCAGTTTGGACATATGTAATATCAAAGTTTTACTTTATACACAAACATTTAATACGTACATTTTTTGTGTGTAAAGTAACATTTTGATATTAAGTTATGATTTAGGTTACACAGTCAAATACAAAGTTCTGATTTTAGATTACACTGGTTTTAGTTTGATACACATTTACACGGTATATTAAACCAAAGATCTTGCTTCCACATGTTTCAAGATCTGCATGGTTAAGTACAGAGACTATATTTATAACTGTCTTCCTTGTCAAACCATGATCTGATAATACAAGATACACAGGAACTAAATGTAAACGATTTATATGTCTAGATCATTACCATATTTGTAGTAATCACTGTACATGTACTTCCATATTTTTGGCAGTTCTTAAAGTGATTTAAGACCCCCTCACCATCAAAACACACTCTTTATTCTTGCCTCCAATTGTTAACTATAACATACACTACAGTATATATACGAGACTTCAGTCTTGTATTAGGAATACAGTATGTATACATATTCCAAACTACTAGGTAATTTTGAACAGAGTATGTTTGAACCGATTGACCAACTGACCTGTGCACACAAGTATTTGTTCTCGTGGTAATAGCCCTTGACAAAGTTACAGTGTTCTCGTGTTGTTATCATACACTCTCCCTGTATCCCATGGCAACAGGGTCGGCCGCTGATCTCACAGGTCATGTGACGTCCCTCACTAACCACCGTCGTGTTGCTTGATGGTTTACTTGTTTCCTCACAGTACTGAAAAACAAGCCAAAGATTATCTTCAGGATAATAAAAACAATGGTTATCGGTACATTTAACATAGTAAGATGCGTAATGACCACACCTAGGTATACTGGAAACATTTAAAACGTTAATGAACAGTCTCCCTATAATCTATACTGAACATGGCTCTATAGCTTATGACCATGTACAGGTCAATGGCTCTAGTTTATGACCATGTACAGGTCAATGGCTCTAGCTTATGACCATGTACAGGTCACCGATTCTAGCTTATGACCATGTACCGGTCACCAATTCTAGCTTATGACCATGTACAGGTCACCAATTCAAGCCTATGACCATGTACAGGTCCCCAATTCAAGCCTATGACCATGTACAGGTCCCCAATTCAAGCCTATGATCATGTACCGGTCACCAGTTCAAGCTTATGACCATGTTCAAGTCACCGATTCTAGCTTATGACCATGTACAGGTCACCAATTCTAGCCTATGATCATGTACAAGTCACCGATTCTAGCCAATGGCCATGTACAGGTCACCAATTCTAGGCTATGATCATGTACAGGTCACCAATTCTAGCTTATGATCATGTACAGGTCACCGGCTCTAGCTTATGACCATGTACCGGTCCCCAATTCTAGCTTATGACCATGTACAGGTCACCGATTCTAGCTTATGATCATGTACAGGTCAATGGCTCTAGCTTATGACCATGTACAGGACAATGGCTCTAGTTTATGACCATGTACAGGTCAATGGCTCTAGCTTATGACCATTTACAGGTCAATGGCTCTAGCTTATGACCATGTACCGGTCGCCAATTCTAGCTTATGATCATGTACAGGTCACAAATTCAAGCCTATGATCATGTACAGGTCTCCAATCCAAGCCTATGACCATGTACAGGTCACCAATTCTAGCTTATGACTATGTACCGGTCACCAATTCTAGCCTATGATCATGTACAAGTCACCGATTCTAGCCAATGACCATGTACAGGTCACCAATTCTAGCTTATGACTATGTACCGGTCACCAATTCAAGCCTATGATCATGTACGAGTCACCAGTTCTAGCTTATGACTATGTACCGGTCACCAATTCTAGCCTATGATCATGTACAAGTCACCGATTCTAGCCAATGACCATGTACAGGTCCCCAATTCTAGCCTATGATCATGTACAGGTCACCAATTCAAGCCTATGATCATGTACCGGTCACCAGTTCAAGCTTATGACCATGTACAAGTCACCGATTCTAGCTTATGACCATGTACAGGTCAATGGCTCTAGCTTATGACCATGTACAAGTCACCGATTGTAGCTTATGACCATGTACAAGTCACCGATTGTAGCTTATGACCATGTATAGTCACATATTCTAGCTTATGACCATGTACAAGTCACTGATTCTAGCTTATGACCATGTACAGGTCACCAATTCTAGCCTATGACCATGTATAGTCACATATTCTAGCTTATGACCATGTACAAGTCACCAATTCTAGCTTATGATCATGTACAAGTAACCAATTCAAGCCTATGACCATGTATAGTCACAGATTCTAGCTTATGATCATGTACAAGTAACCAATTCAAGCCTATGACCATGTACAGGTCACCAATTCTAGCCTATGACCATGTATAGTCACAGATTCTAGCTTATGATCATGTACAAGTAACCAATTCGAGCCTATGACCATGTATAGTCACAGATTCTAGCTTATGACCATGTACAAGTCACTGATTCTAGCTTATGACCATGTATAAGTCACAGATTCTAGCCTATGATCATGTACAAGTCACCGATTCTAGCCTATGACCATGTACAAGTCACCAATTTTAGCCTATGACCATGTACAATTCACCGATTTTAGCTTATGACCATGATCAGGTCACCAATTCAAGACTATGATCATGTACAAGTCCCCAATTCTAGCCTATGACCATGTCCAGGTCACCAATTCAAGACTATGATCATGTACAAGTCACCGATTCTAGCTTTTGACCATGTACAAGTCACCAATTTTAGCTTATGATCATGTACAACTCACCAATTCTAGCCTATGACCATGTCCAGGTCACCAATTCAAGCCTATGATCATGTACAGGTCACCAATTCTAGCTTATGACCATGTACAAGTCACCGATTCTAGCTTATGACCATGTACAAGTCACCAATTCTAGCTTATGATCATGTACAAGTCACCGATTCTAGCCTATGATCATGTACAAGTAACCGATTCAAGACTATGACCATGTACAAGTCACCAATTCTAGCCTATGACCATGTACAGGTCACCAATTCTAGCTTATGACCATGTACAAGTCACAGATTCTAGCTTATGACCATGTACAGGTCACTAGTTTGTTTAATGGATTACATATTCTTATAGAAAGAAAATACATAATAAATAGTAAATAAAAATTATTGTGAGAAATCCATACTTCCCCACCTGTGACAAATTTCAGTATCAAAAGCAAACATATGGCTATAACTCTATATGCATATGGGAATAAGATCTGATTTCAGTATGTAACACTTCACCATCCCATGATGTACTCACTTAATTTACTCACATAAATCTGCCAATTGCACATGTAAGTGACTCAGTGTACCATGTGATAGGCCCCAGACAAGTGATACATGGTAAACAAAGGATCATAACTCTATGCAAAATGGGACACAAGACCCAATTTCAGTACATGACTCTGCACCATCCTAAGTGGAACTCGCATACAAAATTTTGCGATAATTGCTGACAGAGTATATGAGATAATGAGACACACTGACTAGCATAGTGCAAGTCTAGAGTCCCTCCAGTAGTATTGGTTTGGTTTGGTTAAGTACTGTTTAATGTCCTATCAACAGCTATGGTCATTTAAGGATGGCCTCCCCTGTGTATGCGTGTGTATTGGGAGGCTGCGATATGTTCGTGTTTATCTCCTTGTGATAGAGCGGAACTGATGCCGACTTTATAGTGCTACCTCACTGAAACATACTGCCAAAGACATCCAAAAGGACACCCCACCCGGTCACATTAACTGACAACAGGCGAACCAGTCGTCCCACTCCTAAATTGCTAAGTGTTAAGCAGGAGTAGAAACTACCATTTTTACGTCTCTGGTTACAGACTCTGGTATGTCTCGGCCATGGGACAGAACCCAAAGCCTTCCTCACAGGGGCAAACACTCAACTAAAGGCGAAGAGTTAGGCATTGTCAAGGGTGACATTAGGAAGAAGAAAGATATTTAGAAATAAGAGAAAAGATAAGATCCCAAATTTAGTCGCCTCTTACGATCATGCAATGGGGGCAGCAGGTACAATTCTTACGTCCTACCTGCAGGGACTCCTCAAGGAGTACCAGTGGGGGACTAATAATCATTCAGTACAATTCTTACGTCCTACCTGCAGGGACTTCTCCAGTAGTACCAGTCGGGGACTAATAATCATTCAGTACAATTCTTACGTCCTACCTGCAGGGACTCGTCCAGTAGTACCAGTGGGGGACTAATAATCATTCAGTACAATTCTTACGTCCTACCTGCAGGGACTCCTCCAGTAGTACCAGTGGGGGACTAATAATCATTCAGTACCAATCTTACGTCCTACCTGCAGGGACTCGTCCAGTAGTACCAGTCGGGGACTAATAATCATTCAGTACAATTCTTACGTCCTACCTGCAGGGACTTCTCCAGTAGTACCAGTGGGGGCCTAATAATCATTCAGTACAATTTTTACGTCCTACCTGCAGGGACTCGTCCAGTAGTACCAGTGGGGGACTAATAATCATTCAGTAAAGCATTGCTAGATCATCAGCTTCATCAACAGAGTTAGCATCATAGCTGAACATAAAAGATAAGGAGACTTACCGGCCATTTTGTTAGAGAATTCTTGTCCCACACAAATGGTTGAACTGATGCAGGTTTGGTACAATAGCTGGAAAACAATACATTTCAGTAATAAATACTGCTCTCTATAACAGGGTAGTGTTTCTCTAGTTGTACATATAAGGTGTTTATAGCACACGAGTGGATGTGTACATTTCGACTAGAAAAGAGTGCTGTCTGAGATGTCAAATCAAATGTATGCCTCACTTTACATTTACTTCATACCTACATGTGTTTTTCATTCAGATATTTTCTGCAAAATAGTTTTCATGATTGCTCTAATTAATATTCAATTTGCTTCCACATACTGTAAGATGTAAGTCCTCTTCACACAACTCACCTGTGACATTGCATGACTTATTATACAGATGATAATAGTAGATCAGATCCTACTGTGATATGTGACTTACTTGGGATCCTGACCACAAACTGCACCTGCAACAAAGCCTCCCTTCCCTGGATTTGTTGAGTTCCATTTCATGAAAGTGTTTAATGTTGGCTGGAAAGATATAAAAATAATAATATATTTGAATGATAGGTAATAGTAGTTTTAAGTATATGAGGAAGGAGAGTGATGGGAGGTAAAAGTATTATGGATTACAGTACTTTAGTAGATAATGGATTCTGCACAATGAAGTCAATAGCTTTATTTGATCAGAAATAACAAATTATTATAAATACTTGCTGTAAAAATGATTTAAGAATCATTTTATTATAAAAACCAGAGTCTACCTCACACAGGTCCTTGACAGTCTGGGTACAGCCGGAGCCATCATCTCTCACACAACACCCCGACCTGTCCTCCTCTGCTTGGTCCTTCCCTATCCCATTCCAAATATTCTCATCACGTCTCATACAAGGGGAATATTTCGCTCCAAGATGGATCAGATCAGCCTACAAACATTTAGTAAAATATCAGTACAAACCAACAAACTTATCAAACCCAATATATCTCCAAAACTAAAGATGTTTTGAAAATTGTTAGCAGTTTTAAGTAATAAAAAGTTTCCTATTAAGGTTGTAAACACAAATATATCTAAAACGAATTTGTTTAACTACCTGGCGAGGTCCTATCCACAAGTTGTCATTCTCCACGTAGCGAATGTTCTCTATAGCTAAGTTGGGCATCATCACCTAAAAAAAATGTAAAGATTAGCAAGCAGAGTCTTTTACAGAGATTTATATATCAATGAAAAAAATGTCATTCAATTAGGAAACTGTTCTCTGTTAGGAGAAAACTTGTACCATGTCAGATTAGTTACGAGATTTTTTCTGTAAACCTGTTCAGAACTTCATACATGTAGTTACAATTCTGAATAGAATAAAGTTTTTAAGTCTTGTTTTATATTTTTCATGTTTCTAAATGGTGGCAAGAAAAATTAATTCAGTTTGAGGAGGTGAGAGCAAAACAATAATGTCCCCTCATCTATTATACCACATTCAACACAATTATCTCCCCTCATCTTCTATACCACATTCAACACAATTATCTCCCCTCATCTATTATACCACATTCAAAACAATTATCTCCCCTCATCTATTATACCACATTCAAAACATCGGATTTCTTCAACCAGCAATAATGTCCCCTGTTTTCTTTGATAAGCTGGGGATAAAAAATGTTTAATTAATACACAAGTACCAGGTAAATAATATAATGATCTAAGATTAAATTTGTCTGGTATTAAGAAATGATGAACCCCATATTTATTCAAATACTTTATGTATTAACATACACAATATCTATTGTGCTCTTTTACAATATTTCACTTAAGAATAACATTACTAAATATGAATACTTACATATTTTGTTTCAGCTGTTTCTCCTGTTCCTATTGGAGCAATGCCATACACAGCCACAGATACAATGAAACACAGGATCTGGACAATGGTCACCCAGTAGGTAAAGTACGGCCTGTAAAACAACGGTCAGTCTAGTAAGTAAAATACGGCCTGTAAAAAAATGGCCAGTCTAGTAAGTAAAGTACGGCCTGTAGAACAACGGTCACCCAGTAGGTAAAGTACGGCCTGTAAAAAATGGCCAGTCTAGTAAGTAAAGTACGGCCTGTAAAACAACAGTCACCCAGTAGGTAAAGTACGGCCTGTAAAACAATGGTCAGTCTAGTAAGTAAAGTACGGCCTGTAAAACAACAGTCACCCAGTAGGTAAAGTACGGCCTGTAAAAAGTGGCCAGTCTAGAAAGTAAAGTACGGCCTGTAAAACAATGGTCAGTCTAACTAGTAAGTAAAGTACGGCCTGTAAAACAACAGGCACCCAGTAGGTAAAGTACGGCCTGTAAAACAACGGTCAGTCTAGGAAGTAAAGTACGGCCTGTAAAACAACGGTCAGTCTAGGAAGTAAAGTACGGCCTGTAAAACAACGGTCAGTCTGGTAAGTAAAGTACGGCCTGTAAAACAACAGTCACCCAGTAGGAAAAGTACAGCCTGTACAAAAATGGTCACCCAGTAAGAAAAGTACGGCCTGTAAAACAACAGTCACCCAGTAGGTAAAGTACAGCCTGTACAAAAATGGTCACCCAGTAAGTAAAGTACGGCCTGTAAAACAACGGTCAGTCTAGTAAGTAAAGTACGGCCTGTAAAACAATGGTCAGTCTAACTAGTAAGTAAAGTACGGTCTGTAAAACAATGGTCAGTCTAGTAAGTAAAGTATGGCCTGTAAAACAACGGTCATCCAGTAGGTAAAGTACGGCCTGTAAAACAACAGTCACCCAGTAGGTTAAGTACTGCCTGTAAAACAAGAGTACCGCGGGGCGGAACAAAATATGCCCGTCGAATGCCATATAGTGTTATATACTTTCTTACATTGAAACAAGATCTGCATCATTCTAAGAGTGGTTAGCTGATAATGCTATAAAAAATGTAGGAGATTCTAAGAGTGGTTAGCTGATAATGCTATAAAAAATTTAGGAGAAAATCTTTGGACAAAAAATCAAATACTGAAATGACAAAGGGCAATAACGTTTGGAAAAATTGTCGAATCAAAATTCTTTTAAGGGAGACACAACTTCATATCATGATTATAATGTATACCAAGTTTCAAAGAGATCGTCGAAAAATGAAGGAGGAGATCTCCCGACAACATTCAAATACTGAAATGAACAAAGAGCAATAACTTTTGGAAAAATTGTCGAATCAAAATTCTTTTGTGGGAGACACAACTTCATGTCATGATTATAATGTAAACCAAGTTTCAAATAGATCGGTTGAAAAATGATCAGGAGATTGCCCGACAAACAAAGTTTACGCCAGACGGACAACGCCATACCATAATACTACCGTCAAATTTGACGGTCGTACAAAACAACGGTCAGTCTAGTAAGTAAAGTACGGCCTGTAAAACAATGGTCAGTCTAGTAAGTAAAGTACGGCCTGTAAAACAACGGTCAGTCTAGTAAGTAAAGTATGGCTTGTAAAACAACGGTCACCCAGTAGGTTAAGTACGGCCTGTAAAAAAATGGTCAGACTAGTAAGTAAAGTACGGCCTGTAAAACAATGGTCAGCCTAATAAGTAAAGTATGGCCTGTAAAACAATGGTCAGTCTAGTAAGTTAATTATGACCCGTAAAACAACGGTCAGTCTAGTAAGTAAAGTATGGCCTGTAAAACAATGGTCAGCCAGTAAGTAAAGTACGGCATGTAAAACAACGGTCAGCCAGTAGGTAAAGTACAACCTGTAAAACAACGGTCACCCAGTAGGTAAAGTACGGCCTGTAGAACAATGGTCAGTCTAGTAAGTAAAGAATGGCCTGTAAAACAACGATCATCCAGTAGGTAAAGTACAGCCTGTAAAACAACGGTCAGCCAGTGGGTAAAGTACGGCCTGTAAAACAACGGTCAGTCTAGTAAGTAAAGTACGGCCTGTAAAACAACGGTCAGTCTAGTAAGTAAAGTATGGCCTGTAAAACAACGGTCAGCCAGTAGGTAAAGTACGGCCTGTAAAACAATGGTCACCCAGTAGGTAAAGTACGGCCTGTAAAACAATGGTCAGTCTAGTAAGTAAAGTATGGCCTGTAAAACAACGGTCATCCAGTAGGTAAAGTACGGCCTGTAGAACAATGGTCAGTCTAGTAAATAAAGTATGGCCTGTAAAACAACGGTCATCCAGTAGGTAAAGTACGGCCTGTAAAACAACGGTCAGCCAGTAGATAAAGTACGGCCTGTAAAACAAAGGTCACCCAGTAGGTAAAGTACGGCCTGTAAAACAACGGTCATCCAGTGGGTAAAGTACGGCCTGTAAAACAACGGTCAGCCAGTGGGTAAAGTACGGCCTGTAAAACAACGGTCAGTCTAGTAAGTAAAATACGGCCTGTAAAACAATGGTCAGCCAGTAGGTAAAGTACGGCCTGTAGAACAATGGTCAGGCTAGTAAGTAAAGTATGGCCTGTAAAACAATGGTTACCCAGTAGGTAAAGTACGGCCTGTAAAACAATGTTCAGTCTAGTAAGTAAAGTATGGCCTGTAAAACAATGGTCACCCCGTAGGTAAAGTACAGCCTGTAGAACAATGGTCAGTCTAATAAGTAAAGTATGGCCTGTAAAACAATGGTCACCCAGTAGGTAAAGTACAGCCTGTAGAACAACAGTCAGTCTAGTAAGTAAAGTATGGCCTGTAAAACAACGGTCATCCAGTAGGTAAAGTACGGCCCGTAAAACAATGGTCAGCCAGTAGGTAAAGTACGGCCTGTAAAACAAAGGTCACCCAGTAGGTAAAGTACGGCCTGTAGAACAATGGTCAGTCTAGTAAGTAAAGTATGGCCTGTAAAACAATGGTCACCCAGTAGGTAAAGTACGGCCTGTAAAACAACGGTCAGTCTAGTTAGTAAAATACGGCCTGTAAAACAACGGTCAGTCTAATAAGATTGATCCATGTTTTTAATTATCAGCTACAACATACAGACTGTATGTGACATCACTGCATGAAGAATCTGGCATTGTCTGATCATCAAAATAAAATCGTCAATTTTTGTTTTGCCATGACGTTGTTTATATCTATATAACACAAGTACCAACATATTATCTGCAAACAAAAATCAGTCACAATCTTTCTATAACTGTACACTTTATACAAATTCACTATACTCATAATTGTAAATCAATGTATTTTAACAGAAATATTTTACTCATGTGGTTTATTGAATTATGTAATTGAGGTAAGACAATAGACTTTGGTAAATATATATTAATATGTAAAAGTCATGAATTTTGCAGCATTAAATTCTGTATGTGCAAAGATTGCTACCTGTGATCATCAAAGTCATCAATCTGTGATTTAACATAGGAACTCAATCGGTCGCTACGGAAGCTACGGTTAAATAGACGACCAACAAATCCCATTCCAATCTGTCGCTTATCATGGTCTTCAAGGTCATCCCGTACAACATTGTCAATTCTTTTCATTCCAAAGTGGGACACACTCTCATCCATTTGGTGGCTCTTCTGGTGACCGTAGCGATGTGCTGGTCGCCATCCTTTACTGTGTCTGTATAAGGTAAATGTGACCGACAGAACGTACCTTACAATTATAATATGAATAACAGCCGAAATATATATGTTCTTTAATATTTGTGGGATGACATCTAACCTGATTCACAAAAACCCACAGAGCACTTAAATTACCATTTATATGTTCATCATGAATTTAATATTTAAATGAAATAATAGCCCAAAATATCATTCAAATTTACTTAAAAGGAAGACAAAGTATAAACAATGTTTTTGTTGACCACTGGTTCAGTGTAAACATATCCTTGTTCTACCAGACCACTTACATCTCCATCTCTGCATCTTCTCCGATCTTTTCCATCCTCATTTCTGGGCTAATGGCTGGCTCATCATAGAACACATCATCAACTAGACTGAAGGCATCTTCATAGGACTACAACAGACAGAGCATCCGTAAAGAATACATCAACTAGCTATATATATAGAACACTGTAAAATCACAGCTTTATTCATACTTTGGGTAATTACATTCTAATTGGTAATTTAATTACCAATTAGAATGAAATTGCCCATAGTATGTAATACATCACTGAATTATCATTTTACTTATCATTTTTACATATTATCCTACATCCTTACATGATAGATCATACTAGCTGAAAGGTCGTCTGGGTACTCTCCTGCTAGACTGGCAGGAGCAAAGCTTCTCTGGCGCTGAACACTTGGCTTCCCTCGTAGCTTCTTCCTAACACCCTATTGATGTAAAGACAAATTACAGACAACATCAACTTATCTGCATTTTCATATCAAACATCAGAATATGGCAAATATTGTGAAATTTTCCCGAAATAACCGCTATATATATTATACTACAGCAAAAATATCACTGTTTCTGATATCCATACTGTCTCTTAATTTTCATGCCTCCTTACCTTTTTGATGATTTTTACAATTTTAGAATTTTAGAATCTATTAGTCTTAGTGTATTTGAATAGTTTGAGATAATACAACCTCCCTAGTGAGTCTCAATTCAAAGCAAATAACAGGAACCATAACAATTTTATATTTGGCAGATAAAAAACCTATGACTCACAGCGATACTTTTAACAGTCATCTTAACAACTGAGTCTTTTCTTGGTCTTTTTGGAGGACCCCTTGTTCTGGCATATGTGCTTGTGCTGGAGAGGGGAGTGGTTCTTCTGGATGAATATTCGCTATGTCGAGTAGGATTACGAAGAGGATCGTAAACGTGTGGAACAGCAGGCATATCCCCCAACACATCATCACTGTCTGCCTGGTCCTTTCCTGGCATCTTGTCTTCTCGGAACTTTCCACGATAAAACCGCATTCTTCTGTTATTCCATCGCTGAGATTTGTTGGCATCTTCTTCTCCAACACCAAAGAAGTCTGCAATGCTTGTCTTTATCTTCCTGTGAAACATAACATCAGGAGTTATATCTCTAACAGAGTAAGAATCTGAATGAAAAAATACTGTAAAACAGTACAAGATGCACTCAATCAATACATTTGTATATCTAACAATATACATTACTGGCACAGCTCTGTGTGGAGAAGATATCATACCAGCACACAATCTGTAGCTATAGATTGCCTACACAGCTCTATGTAGAATAGATATTTATTATGATATTATACCAGCACACAATCTGTAGCTATAGATTACGAACACAGCTCAATATGGAATAGATTATAATATCACACAATCGATAGTTATCAAAACATTAAAATATTTTGATCAGTAAAGAATTTTTCCAAGCAAGAAAATGGTTACAGAGACAACCCTATACTGTAATGACTCTCATTGTGGTCTATTGACAGCCTCTTACCAATTCAAGGCTGTTATATGCATTACACAAAGTCTGTATAGCTCCCTACTTACTGTTTTACTCGTGTTTATATCAGTGTTATTGTATACTGACCAAGTTGCCCTACTGGTTGGGACTTGTTATGCCAACAGGTAATGTAAGCTCACTTTGTGCCTTTCTCCCAACAGTGTTATATACAAGGAGCAATTGAGAAAGTTGCAGGGACTTACATGCTGGATTATGTGTAAAAACTGTGCAACTTATGTACTAGACATTGTTCTTCTGGAGTTCGAAACTCAGGAACTGTTGGTTTGTGTATTGCTCGACTGTTTATTCTATCTTGGGTATTGTTCAAAGTTTGACACTAACACTAGTGTGTTATCCTAGACCAGTAAAAAATAAGGTCTAGCAAATGTTCCATACATGTTGGTCCTGCAGACTACTTATATTTCCAGACCCTCAGACTACTTATATTTCCAGACCCTCAGACAACTTATATTTCCAGAACCTCAGACTACTTATCTTTCCAGACCCTCAGACAACTTATATTTCCAGACCCTCAGACTACTTATATTTCCAGACCCTCAGACTATCCAATTTTGATCCGTTCTCAGCATTTACTGAGGCAAGGACAAGTAAAAACAATTAAGACCTTAATTCCTTAACTAGTCCTTTAGACTAGGTAAGGAAAATTGTTAGAGTGTTACCCTGTTGTTGGGAGTGTCCATCGCCATGCGGACGCTTTACAAGACTTCCAACAACAGCAACAAGCTGTGAGTGTTTTTTGGGGCAAGACTTGTGATAATACGGGTAAATACTATCAAGAAGGCATATAAAATTAGAAGTTACAATAGCATAATGGGTCATTCAATTCAGAGAAGGTTAAGATTATACCTGCCAACTCTAGACATGGTGCTTGGCTCCTCCTCATCTTCCTCACCAGCCCCTCGGGCAGCTGGTGCACTGGCTGTAGTCATTCTGGATATCTGACGGTCATACGTCATCCCCATGGTATGGTCATAAGTATTCTGGCGACGGTAATTTCCAGGCATCTTGCTAGTCTGAAACATATATCATTAATGTATGTTTGCTTTGGGCAGAGTACAGATATTAATTATTCAATTAATGTCAGTTATTGCTGGTTTTTACACAAACTTATAAATAAAACGATATTGTTAAATGTGTAGCAGGGGACGTTATAATATATGTGTGTTCATCGACAGTGTTAAGCTGACAGGGTACGGTTATAAGCTTAATTCTATGGCATGTCTGTATGTTGTGTACCAGCTGTGTCACTCTGACCTTTGTTGTTGTTCTCTGTTCACGTGTCCTGTCTGAGGTCTATGTTTTTGTCATGCATTATCTGTAGTCGCTTACTTTTTAGTCAGAGTCTGCTGTCCCTGTGTGCTTCTGTGAATTCTCTGTTGTGATTGGTCCTTTAGTTTTCATATTGTAAAATGTGGGACATATTCGGGATGGTATGTTGTACATGGAGCAGTCGGATGGATTAGTTTACTGTGTGCTGTTACATCTTTTCGTCAGGTATATTTATGGTTAGTTTAGGATTTCTATATAGGGACTTAGTCAGGATGTGGGGGTGAGCGATAGTTTCGAATTATAGTTAGGTCGTATTTAGTATGATGGGATCAGTCTTTACAGGTAGGTAGGTAGGGAAGTATTCGCTTTGTTAGCTAGGCATAGGCTATTGTAATTGTTTTCTATGTATCTTATGTTGTAAATATCTGTTGTAAAAAAATATTATTAATTGTATTTCAAGGCGTTTGTTTTCCCTCTACGACAGTTACAAGTTACCCATCGAACCTGGGTTGGTCTGCAGGGCGAGTCGGGTGCAGTTTGACGTACTGTCAGACAAACTGGGCCCAACACGCTCCTGTTACAAATGTAAAGTAAATATTGAGAGGTGTAGGGTATTATCTTTTACATATAGAATATTTCATTTGAGCTCAACCTCATGAAAAGTGTCCTCTCTTTGTAATTCACCGAGTCACTATATACTTCGTATAGTTCACCAGTTTGTGTGTGTGTTGGGGG